CCAAATATTACAGCATAATTCATGTGCTCGCTTACATGTGTGTTCCTGGTGAGATGAAAGTGAAACTACACACTTGGCCATTCAATCCAGCCTGGTGCTTGTATTAGATGATGTAGGAGTCGGTTTCCTGCTCAAAAGACCAGCATGTTGTGTTTTTGGTGCTGGTCTACATAAACAGCAGGTTGACTAGCCTGACCAGCTGTTGCACAGTATGCCAGTGCTGATCCACCATCTAGACCAGCACTAAGAAGCAATGAAATTGTAAGCTGTTGATGTCAGCTGGGTTGTTATGATGTAAGCTGTCTGGAGCTGATGAGGTTCAAGCTTATTTTTTTTTAAGTTGACAGTTGAACATTTCTTGGTATTCAATACTGCCATGGGCTGTATCTTTCAAACCTACTTTTAATTAAATCATGACTCACTAGCTGTCTTCCTTCAAGATGTGCCGTAGGAGGAATTCAGTACTAGAGCATGTGAATTTTTTTATAAACACACACGTACCACCTACTAAATACTTTTTATTTTATTATAATTTTGTATTTATTTACTTATTTTTTATTTGAGTAATTGATTAATTCTAATAACAAATTAGCAAGTAACATAAAACTTAAAATATATATTGTATAATTTTATTACAATATTGAATTATAATTACAAATTAGAACATATAGAAAGTAAGAGTATATTTATTATATTCATATATAAAATTTTATTTATTGTTATTATTCGATTTGATTTCTTCGATATTGATTTTTTAAATTTATAGTATTTATTAATTTTACATATATATGTGTGCTTGTGTGTCTGTTTAATTTTATTATGATTTATTTTTTAAATGATAAAAGCTGAAATGAAATTGAAAGAATTCAAAAAGTCGATCTAAAATGTTGCTGATGTGTCCTTAGTGGATTTAAGGACATTGCTATGTTGTTAGGGCGTTGCTAGGGTGTTTTTATGGGAGGATGGTGGGTGGAATGAGTAGTAAAAATGTTCACTTAGAAAAGCAAGAGCATACCTCTCCTTTAAAGGCTGGTTTGATTGTAAACTGTTGGCTCACAAAATGGCAAAGTTCTCCCAAAACACCTGTATCACCTTCACTTCAACTTCTTGTTCTTTGATCTGTCTTGGCATACTGGTAACTCCTTTTCCTATTACCCATAATTCCATTTCCTGTCCTCATTCCCCACCCCCTGACTCTCCAGACTGTAGAACATAAAATCAAATGCTCCCGCAACCTCACTTCCTGACATTCATTGACATTTCCTCCAGGAAGCATCTGCTGGTCCCTCATGAAGCGGCCTGTCAGAAGGACAGAATAATACTGTTAGTCATGGGGCATTCAACACTGCATTAGTCCCATGTGAGCCCTTGAAAACACACACTGATGTCAATCAACACGCATTCAAATCTGACAGTGTTGAGTGTGACATGTAAACAGAGGTATAGAACTACTGTAAAATGCATTCCCAAATGCAATGAGCGGTGCTTCTGGGAATTTTTTTCCCACAGTTTGTTTTGTCAAAGAATCCTGTTACAGACACAATGAGCAAGTAAAATAAATGGGAAAAAGTCCTTGTCCAATGTTACACATATCTTTATGAGGGGATGCTAGGCTAGGCCGTTATGATGTTCCCAAGGTAAACCTAAAACCTTCAAGGAGGCAATGGGTGTGGATCCACGATTGGATTTAAAGGGGTCATGTGATGCGATTTCAATTTTTCCTTTCTCTTTGGAGTGTTACAAGCTCTTGGTGCATAAAGAAGATCTGTAAAGTTGCAAAGACTAAAGTCTCAAATCCAAAGAGATATTCTTTATAATCCTGTGCCAAGAAGCATAGGTTTTTCTCATCAGTTTGAGCTCATCTATCAATCTGCTGTGGGAGTTTGCGTACAATGCAAGCATTAGTTTCACCAGCACCTGATTTTGTTCATAGTTGCGATTGTTTCGCTTCGGCAGCACCACCACCCAAGAGGAAGTGAACGGCTGTATCAAGGCTGAACAGACTTCCTGTGCTTGTTGTCTTGGGAGGACCTCACAGGGGCAGCTAAGAAAGCAGACAGTTTCATTTAGTTCCAGTCAGCGTGCCGACATGGAGCTCTGGACGGGATTATATCTTGTGAGTCTCCTCAACATGGCACGTTGTTTGCCTGAATCGTCCTACACTGTTCATTTGAACAAACTCTCATTCGAACATGCTCAAAATTATTGCAAACCTGGAAGTTTCCTGACCAACATTCCAAATGAGAAGGAAATGGCGAAGATTCTGAAAACAATCTGGGATATGAATAGCAAAACCGCCATGTCATTTTGGATTGGACTGAAGAAGGATAAAGGCATCTGTGTTGAACAGCATTTGCCTCTTAAAGGATTCTACTGGACAGTGGGCAGCAGCACTCAATCTGACGTTAAAACCTGGAAAACCGAACCTTCAGGTACTTGCGCAAATCTTCGCTGTGGGCTGCTTTCAGTGGAATACAGTGACTCTGGCACAAAGAGCAATGGGTTTGTGGATGCTGCCTGCAAACAGGAACATACTTTCATTTGCAAACGAAACATCAAGCTGGCATGTCCTCGACCAGAAATACTCTACACACATGACATGATTGAGCCAATAAATGATCCGTATACACGTCAGATTGTTTGCCGTTCTGGTGCCAGGTTCAATCTGACATGCTCCAAAGATCTAGTTTGGACTCTGGTTGGCAACGAAAACATGAATATATCTCAACTCTGCCTAGAGTGCAAAAAAGGCTACAGGAAGGATGCGTCCGGAAACTGTGTGGATGTAAACGAATGTGAAGAATCGAATCCATGTGAGCACAAATGCCTGAACACAGAAGGCTCCTACAAATGTCTATGTTCGTACAATGACGATGGCATTTGTAATGGACCATCAAAGCCGCCCACCACCAATCTGAAAAACAATGAATATTCAAACATAAACAGGGGCAAATCTGGGCTAACTCAGCCTACGTCTCTGCCTGATGATGATGTCAGAATGAATGAGACAGTCATACGCATTGAGGAGAGTGCTGGAGACATTTCAAATATCGTAGTACATGTGATTATAGCTCTGTTGATTTTCATAGTGCTGCTGGTGATTGTGGCAGCCATCGTGAAAGACTGCCTGAGGAAGAGATCCATAAAACTGGCCCGGAGGAAGGCGGAGGCTGTGGCTCTGAATGGATCCAGCTCCATGGAGAAGGTGAATGAAAAAGAGGAAACCTAAGTGGGAGAGACTGAGCAAATGTAAGATAATTCAATGTGACACATGCAGACTACAGAGGGTGCTTTTTGCAAGATATTCCTCTCTCAGAATATTTGGGTGTGAGTTCTGGAGTCACAAGAGTGCTGTGTAATTACTGCCTTTGAATTTCATTTGCCATTCCGTCTCACAGTTGAAATCAGGGTCTTTATGCCGATGTGGATTTGGAAATCCTATCTAGGTCACATCGACGGTAATTAGATTTTGCTTTTGTTTACTCTTTCATAGCTGATATTTAAATGCACCTATGTGGCGATGTAAGAACTATTGAAGATATTATGTTAATACTGCCATTGGATGTGTTTTCTAATGATATATTTATGCTATGTTTCACAAGTTTTAAACGTGTCTTTTTAACTGAAGAATAAGAATAAATAAAGAATAAATAAAGACGGGTGTTTAAACTGCTGTACGCCGTGGTCGTTTCTTTGAGTACCACACGTAAATGTTTTTATTACCTGACAGATATCGCTGAAATAGGTGTCCTGAGAGATTATACTTGTTTCTGGAACTGCTTGTAAACAGCAAAAAGAAGGATCTGACCACTGACGCGTAGCTGGTGTGAGTTTAGTCAGGTTATTATTGTGCAGTTCCGTTTGATGCCGCTTGAGGCGCTGAAATCCCTTACAGCTGTTTTAAAGGCGCGCTCAGTCATTTTTGTTTATATGATTCTGGCCGATATGGCAGTAGACTTGAACTAATACTAATAATTAGTGTGATTGCAGTATCACGCAGATGTATTTTTAAATAATTTCAAATATATTATTTATTCATTTATTAACATATAGTAATATATATATATTTTAAAAAGTGCACCTTTAATAAAGAAAATAGAGTACGGTTTAAGTATACATTTCACCTTTTGTCTAAAATGGGATCATGTCATAGTCTGTGAGTTTCTTTTTTTTTGGATAATATTTCACAATTAAAAAGTACATAATACATAAATTATAATCATGAATGAATAAATAAACACATTGCGGGTGAAATAAATTACACTAAGGATAGCCATAAATCAGCTTTGTATTAGACATATTCCCTGCAGCAGCATAAACAGAAGTACAGCAGTCAATGGAAACGTTTCTCACAGGCTTCAGGTCAGATTTGATATCTCACCTTCACTATTAGGATTAGGTTTACAATCAAACACCTAACATTTAGGCTTCAGAACCATCTTTTATAATTATTACAATATTTTCACTTGAAATATAATTGAAATTCAACCTGTGCCATGTAAAAAAAAGTGCAGACTCAAACATTTGCTTTTGCATTTTTTTTAAAAGAAATGTAACATTAAATGTAAAAAAAAAAAAACTTCACTGACTAACATTGACATAATCTACTCAAAATTTATGACTACTGCTGTGATGTAACATTTGCATACTGCACTGCGATTGGTCTTCTGTCTTGCATATATTTGCATACTTAATTTAGATGAATGTTTTGACAAGGCAAGGTGGTTCTGATTTCATTTCTGTACACAGAACCAAAACATAAAAACCGAAAACTGTAACACTATTTGATCCAGCTTTGCAAGCACTGCAAGCTTCCTTCGTAAAATACAAATCTAGTTTTACCACATAATGCACTGAGAGTGAATGGTTTCCCATTATTCCATTTCAAAATAAACAACCATTTGGCTGTGGATATTTATTTTTTTATCTGAACCAACATCACACATTTTGCCCATATCGACACACTTTATAATAACTTTCATTAATACGCCATTCAAGGCATTATATAAGCATAAAAAGTTCATGCACATTCATATAGGCAAAATTGCACATTAACTTTAGATTAAGCATTATATAATCTAATAATGGCATTAACGAAAGTTATTATGAAGTCTTACCAATACATCTCAACAAAAAACACATACTGCAATGACAACAGATAACAAAACAAGTCTTTATGCTGCAATACCGAGTCCTACAACGTTGTAGTTCTAGATGTGCAGGTGCCATTCCTGTACGTGCTGTCCGACTCCAGATTGTCCGGCTGAAAGTCATCCACACTGTATCCTCGACTCTTCAGAGCCGTGGCATAGTAATCTATGGGTTCCTCCGTGGCGTTATCCCACCACCGGAGGCATAAAATCCTCTGGAAGGAGCGTCTGAAGTTATCCGACAGGAATCCGTACAGGATGGGGTTGGCACAGCTGTTGGCATATCCCAAAATCACAGCCAGCTGACTGAGGGTGGCATTGTGCTGCTGGACAAACACGCTAACCAGCTGCACGATGTGAAAAGGCATCCAGCAGATCACAAACACCGTCACCACCATCATCACCATCAGCGTGATCTTCCTCTCGGACTTTTTGCGCTGCTGCCAGCCAGCTTTCAAGGCGACCACCCGCATCTTCACTATGATGAGGATGTAGCACATGCAGATGGCAATGACAGGGAAGAGAAAGCCCATCAGAAAGGCGTAGATCACAAATATAGCCATCCACCGACGCTCGGGCTCAGGCATCTGCATGTTGCAAGCCACCGATCCGTCAGAGTTGGGTGCAGTGGTGGAGAAGATGATGATGGGTAGGATGACGAGGATGGAGAACATCCAGACTCCTAAGTTGACCATTTTGGCGATAGTGGGTCTTCGGTACCGGGCTGCTTTGATGGGATGCACCACGGAGATGTAGCGATCGATACTCAACACAGTCAGACAATAGATGCTGGTGAACATGTTAATGGCATCAACACTTAAAACCAATCGACACAGGAGAGAACCAAAGGGCCAGTGGTGAAGTAAAGAAGAGGTGACTAAGAAAGGCACACTCAACATGAGTAACTCATCCGCGATCGCCAAGTTCAAGATGTAGATGTTCGTCGCAGTTTTCATCTTCGCATACCTGAAGATCACATAAATCACCATCGAGTTCCCACAGAGTCCCACCAGACAGACTACGGAATAGATGAAGGAGATGAAGATTGCGCTGCTGCCGTGAGAATCCCCGTTATGCGTCTCGTTGCTGGAGAAGTTTAACGGATATAAACCATCCTCCAGGTACTTGAAGGTGTCGTTGGGCAGCATCCCGACACTGTTTTGAGCCTTTCTATGGATTTTAAGAGTTTATAAATTAGAAGATGCGCGCATTGATGCTGCGAGACTCCGGAAGGCGCATCCCGACGCTGCGGCGGTTTCAGCACCATGGACAGTTACTCCACATCCACATGCATTACATTCACAGACGTCACACGTGCAACATGACGCCATCGGCTCCTAATGGTTTTGTGAGCGTGTTTGAGAAACAAAAATAGTTTCTTGGCGGCATCTAGACCTTCATTTAAAAAAAAAAAATCGATATCAAATAAAGCAATACATACAATGGTTCGTCTTTCTTGTTGCCCAAGTTAACTTAAAACAACACTCAGATAGCTTGATTTTTTTATTTATTATAAAGCTATATTTGTAACATATTAGTAACTTTTGCTCTTTTTTTTTTTGTTGCTCTTTTTGCTTTGAATTTTAGACACCACCATCTTCTAATGACATCAACATCCTCAACGTTGTCACAGGGCTGTTTAGAGCACCCCAGAAATAACTGTGTTTAATTAACATTGTATATGATAATATTCATTAGAAACCAAACCTATGCTCTTGCAATGAGTTGCATGCAGTCACACAGACTAGAGTACATGCTAAACAGGTAGGCTTAGTTTCCACACACAGTTGAGTTTAAAATTCATAGCTTTTCTTCATGCCCTTTCCCTCTAAAATTGAATAAAATATGTTGTTCATCCTAGACAAAGAAAGGGGTTTTACAAAAGGTCCACTGAACAAATGAAAAGCTCAGTATTTTGAATCTGGAGTCATTCAGTTGGCATCTTGTGTGACTGTTGCCATAGTCTTTATATAGTTTTCCTACACTGCACAATGCCTTATAAAAACAACAAAGCACCAGTGAGTGTGAAGAGGAAGCTTATCTGTGCTTATTTCTGGCACCACCTAGTGATGAATGAAAAGCTAAAGAAAATAATCCAACTTCAGTTAAAACAAATGCTGTTTGAGGGGCTATATAGTTTAGTTAAAAATACCAGGTTTCTGATCCATACTACATTTAGATGCATCTCTGAATGTGTGTAGATGAACCTTTTTATGCAAAACAACAACAACAAAACCAAACATTGTATAACTTTGGTTAGCTTAATTTTCACTATTTAACAATATAATTCACTTAATATGAATACAATTTTAGAAAATGAAAATCCAAAATATTTAGGTTAAACTCTCAATCACTTCACTTATAAGGTTTTGCAGGACAGAGTACCAAATAAATAAATAAGTAGATAGATAGATAGATAGATAGATATAACGTCAGACAGACAGACAGACAGACAGATAGATAGATAGATAGATAGATAGAGGACGGACGGACGGACGGACGGACGGACAGATAGATAGATAGATAATAGTAAACACACGTGTATGGAGCATGTTGCATCTAGTTCAGTTGATCAAAAGCTCTGGATAAAACATTTACATTTATTCATTTAGCAGGTGCTTTTATCCAAAGTTACAACAAAAACAATTTGTCATCCATTTAATGTGTAAGAAAATCTATAGCACATTATGTAAGAGGAGACTACAGGTGCTGAGTTTTTGGTGGATGTCGCTTGAAAGTGTTTGAAAGATAAATTAAGTCTCAGACTTTTTGGGGACATTTTTCTAATTAAAGTTTGAACAATTTCAGTATGTTGTAACATGCCCACAATATTCTATTTGTTTAACAAGACAGCTGGTAAGACATGTCAGACCTAAATTACCATTTCACACCTGAAATAATTTTACCTTCTTCAGTCCCAAGCCAAGACACTCCATCTCAAAATGCTCACACCTTGAAAACAGGATATAAGAATAGCAAAAACCTGAAGCTCTTTTGCCAGAATTTGAGTGATACCTCATTTTTTCTCACAGATGGAGACTTGTGTTGTCCTTGAAATGTAATGAGCCCAGTCAGAGCACAACATGTGAGGAGCAGATGGCTGTCTTCACACTCTTCTCTCTGAGACTCTCTCTCTCTCTCTCTCTGAACTGGAGAAGAGCCAGATCATTCAGCAGGTGTTTCTCTCTTTCCATCTAGTTAAGACCAGTGTCTTTGCCTGGTGTCATATGAAGTGATCTGACTTCTTCAGGGCAAATATGATTTCAGACATCAGGTAGATACAGCTGTCTGGCTCTGGCTGTTAGGCTGTTTATTAAAAGACATTAATTAGTAAGACATTTGATTTAATTTTAGTCAGTAAATTTATTGTTTCACAACCAACATTTTTTATATTATTAAAAAATATAAAATTATTTATATTTTTATAAATTTATAAAAACAATTATCTTTATTTTATTATTTATAAAAATAATTATCTTTAATGAATAAATATAGCATTCTGGTTAGAGTCTGATCTAAACCCTAAGGGCCCTATCATACACCCGGCGCAATGCGGCGCAAGTGTTTTTGCTAGTTTCAGCCCGACGCAGTTCTCATTTTCCCGTCCTGCGCCGCGTTGTTTACATAGCAAATGCATTTGCGCCCATTTGTGCGCCCATGGGCGCGCTGGTCTAAAAAAGAGGTGTGTTCAGGCGCATTGTTGGCGCGTTGCTATTTTGAGGAACTGAAAATAGACTGCGCCATAGACCAACTCAAACCTGGTCTAAAGTCTGGCGCAATATTTTTTCTTTGTTATTTAAAGAGCGCGTTAGTAATATGCGCCTATAGGCGGGTGCACAACACGCGTACACTTTGCTTATTACACACACAGGGACGTGCAGCAGCACACAAACATTTTTAAATATGAAAAATTACATTCCGCCATGTAAATAGCGAACCCGCCATGGCGCGAGCGCAACTGGCTTTTAAAGGGGATGGGAGATGAGACTCTGATTGGTTTATTGCACGTTACGCCCAAAAAACACCCATTACTCATTAAGAGAATAGG